GTTTTCGTTTTGTTTTGTTTTCTTTGCTTGTTTGTTTTTAGATTCCATATATGAGCGAAACCACATGGTATTTGTTGTTCTCTGCCTGACTTACTTCACTTAGCATAATACCTTCTAGATCCATTCATGGTGTCGAATATGGCAAGATTCCATTCTTCTTTATGCTTGAATAATATTCCATCTGTGTGTGTATACCACAATTAATTTATCTATTCATTTGTCGATGGACATTTAGGTCGTTTTTATTGTAAATAATGCTGCAATGAACATGGGAGTGCACACATCTTTTTGAGTTAGCGTTTCGTTTCCTTCAGATAAATACCCACAGTGAAATTTCTAGATGATACGGTAGTTCTGTTTTTAATTTTTTGAGGAACCTCCATACTGTCTTCTATAGCAGCTGTACCAATTTACAATCCCACCGACAGTGCGTAAAGGTCCCCTTTTCTCTACATCTTCGCCAACACTTGTTATCTCTTGTCTTAAGATAGCCATTCTAATAAGTGTGAAGTGATACCTATATTGAGGTACATTCCTTCTATACCCAATTTGTTTAGAGTTTTGGTCATTAAAGGGTGTTGAACTGTGTCAGATGCTTCTTCTGTATCAATCAAGATGATCATATAATATTTATCTTTCCTTCTATTAATGTGATATGTCACATGTATCGATTTATGTTTGTTGAATTGTCCTTGCACCCAGAGATGAATCCCACTTGATTGTGATATGTGATCCTTCTAATGTACTGTTGAATCTCGCTTGTTAATATTTTGTTGAGAATTTTTTCATCTATATTCACCAGGGATATTTGTCTGTAGTTTTCTTTTAATGTCTTTATCTAGCTTTGGTTTGGGGGTAATGCCTTCTCCTGTATTTTTTGGAAAGTTTTGAGACGGATTGGTATTACTTCTTTAAATGTTTGATAAAGTTCGTTCATGAAGTCATTTGGTCTGGTGTCCTCTTTGTTGGGAGCGTTTTTATTTTTTTCATTACTGCTTCAATCTCCTTAGCCACAAATGTATGTTAAGGTTTTCAATTTCTTCTTGGTTCACTCTTGATAATTTGTATGTTTTTAGGAATTTACCTATTTCTTCTAGGTTTTTTAATTCGTCATTTCAGATATTCACAGAGCTTGTTGTCCAGACCATTGGCCAGGACCTGGCTCTGTTCCTCAGCCTTCACGTCCTTCTGTCTGTTCGAGAACCAGTCTGGGATCTTGTGCGGGCATGGATTCTGCATAATGGTGATGGCACGTCCACCTTACCCTCAGTGAGCTCTCCCGCCCTCTTGGTGAAGTCGCTGTCCACTTGCCTCGACACCACATGAGCATATCTTCACCCCACACCCTCAACTGCAGTGATGGCAAAGGCTATTTTCCACTGCCCATTAACATTGGTGTTGAGTACTCACAAAATGTGCTAGAATTTCTCAGGGATCACTAGAGACATGGCAGTAGCCCCAGTGGTGGCAGATAAGCCTCCTGTGGAAGAATCTTGTTATAGTTTTTGACGTAAAGTCTATTTTGCTGGATCTAAGTGTAGCTACCTCTGCTCTCTTTTCAGTTCCATTTGTTTGAAATGTATTTTTCATGCCTTCAGTTTGAGCCTTTGCATGTCCTTAAAACTGAAGTGAGCCCCTTCCAGGGAGCATATGGTTGGGTCTTTTTAAAAATCCATTCAGCCACTCTTTGCTTTTTGATCAGAGAATTTAATCCACTTACATTTAAAGTAATTTTTGATATGTAGGGACTTACTAATGCCATCTTATTGCTTATAGGCAGTTTCATAGTTCCCTTGCTTTTTTTTCTTCCCTTTTTGTTTCCTTTGTAAATCAATGATTTTCCATAGTGTGATATACTTTGCTTCTATTATCTTTACCTCTTGTGTATGCACTGTAGGTTTTTGCTTTGTGGTTATCACATGGCTTGCATAAAACATCTTAGTGTTAAAACAGACCCTTTTATGTTATAATAACTTCAATCACACACAGAAACTATACCTCTTTATTTCCCCCTCCCCCACATTTTATGGTTTGCTATCACAATTTACCTATTTTTATATTGTGTACTCATTATCAAGTTATTATAGCTACAGCTACTTTTTGAATAATTTTTTTCTTTAACATTTATATTAGCATCAAGTGGTTAACACATTATTATATTACAGTATTACAATATTCTGATTTTTTCTATGTATTACGTGTTTATATTCTCATCTGTTTTCATGTGACTAATTAGTGTTCTTTTATTTCAGCTTGGAGAATTCATTTCAGCATTTCTTTTAGGGCAGGTCTAGTGGTGATGCACTCTGAGCGTTTGTTTGTTTGGGTAAGTTTTTATTTGTCTTTCATTTTTGAAGGCCAAATCTAATGGGTAAGGTATTCGGGGTTGGCATTTTTTTCTTTCATCACCTGGAATATATCACCCCAGTCTTTCCTGGCCTCCAAGTTTTTGCTGAGAAATTCACTGACAGCCTTATGGATATTCTCTTGTATGTGAGGATTTTTTTTTCCAATCGCTGCTTTTAATTTTCTCTCTTTGTCTTTGATTTTAGACCATGTTAATATAATACATCTTGGAGAAGTTTAGGTAGGTTGCAATTTTGGGAGAATTGATGAGCTTCATGAATTTGGTTATCTGAATCTCTCCCAGACTTGGAGCCATTATATTTTTAGAATAAGACTACAGCTCTTTTCTCCTTCACTTCTCAGAGTCCACTAATGTACAGTTTGTTTCTCTTAATGGTAACCCATAGTTTATGTAGGATTTTCTTATTCTTTTTTGTTCTTATTTCTCTGTTCTCCTCTGACTGGATAATTTCATAAAACCTGTTCTTTACTTCATAGATTATTTGTTCCGCTTGGCTCAGTCTGATGCTGATAGTCTCTATGGCACTTTTCATTTTTCATTCATTGTGTTCTTCGGCTCCATAATTTCTGTTTGGTTCATTTTTAAATTTCTGTCTTTCTGTTAAACTTCTCATTTTGTTCATATATGATTTTTCTTATTTCATTGAATTGTCTTTCTGCATTTTCTTGTAGCTCACTGAGCTTCCTTAAAACAATTATTTTGAATTCTTACCATGCAAATCACAGATCTCCATCCCTTTGGGGTTGAGTATCAGAAAATTATTGTATTCATTTGGTGATATCACGTTTTCTTGACTTTTCGTGTTCCTGAAGTCTTACATTGCTGTCTTTGCATTAGAAGAAACAGTCATTTTCTTGTAGTCTTTACCGACTGGCTTTGGGAGAGAAATACCTTTCATCTGGTCTGTTATGAATTCTGAGGCTTTCTCAGACTTTTTCCATGCATATTCCTTCTCCCTTAAGGGGGAATTTATAATATTGTAGGCCTTATTTTGATTCTGCAAAGCCAGGCTCGGCGCTAACAGTCTCCCCTTTGCTTCCCCTAGGGCATTGCTAAATGCTCAGTTTTATGAAGTTTCTCTCAGGCCCACAGAGTCAGGTGGCTTTCTGTATGTTCTCACTGGCCATCTGTAACCTGCTTGTTCTTTACTTATATTTACACAGATGTTCATATTTCTTAAAATTCATGCAACCTACTTATTTTTTTATTCTGAATATGGTAAGTTCAATTAAGTTAAGCCTGTTTGCTATGATTCTGCTAACCATTTTTCGCTAGCTCTCAGTCAGTACCCTAGTCCTTAGGTGCTTAGTGATTTTTGATTATGAGTTGTTCATTTTCTTGTAATTCCACCTGTGAAAATACTTGGGATGAAAAATACTTGAGAAAATACAAAAGCTTGAGATGAAAGTGGGTTTCTCCAGAGAGGATTTGCATCTACTTCTGCCAGGTAACTAGAGCAGTGTTACTGTAGCCTGTAGACTGGTCTGCAAATGCCAACAAGATAAGGATATTGCCCCAAATGTAAATCAACTACAACACTAAGCACTCTTTAGTTTAGCTACTAATTATTTCATAGTAATACTTTCTTGAGTGATGCTCAAGAAGCTGTGAATTTGTTTATGATGTGCCAAAGCTCTTTATTTCATACCTGACTTGTAACAAGTAATTTATAGACTGGTTATATTGAATTGCACTAGCCTAGAGCAGCATTACCATCCAGTGTTTCATTAAACTAAATTCCTATTTGAGGTTTTTCAGGTATTTTAAGTTGTGTGAAATTGAACTACACTAGACATTTCACATACAGTTAAATGTCTTATAGTTACAAATTCCTTGGAGTGATTAAAACATTGTCTCTACTCAATGCCAAGTTTTAGACATATAACTTTCTTTGCGTTTCCTTGGGATGATGGTTATTTGAACTTTTACTTTTGTATTAATAGTATACTGCTTTGGGGGGTCCCAGATTTATATCAGAATATCCTGTTACATTCTCTACCTTGATTGGGCCCTTGTTCTAGATACCAAGTGTCATGAAGTGAAAATATATTTAAGTTTAGGTCATCTTAGTCTGACAAATGTCTTCAATGCCAAACCAGGTTCACTGTTTTGCTACCTCACTGGGTTCTCATTTTCACCCAGTGTTTGTTTTGAATAGTACTTACCTTTTTAAAAACCAACCAATCGATGCATTTGATCAGGTTTCTAAAATATTTGATCCAGCATTTTTACTTGTGAGTTTGAATAATTAGTCTTCCGTGTATGATTTTAACATAATGTTTAGTTTCTCTCTTCATTTTAAAATTCTTGCATAGGTTTCATTTTTCCCTTTTTCATTCATCATCAATGGGATAGGTGTTTCTAGATATATTTTTTTAAGTGCAGGTGGGGATTTATATTTATATGGATGTTCTTTTTTCTATGTAGTAGATTATACATTGATAAAAGATTCCCCAAAATAAAGAATAAAAATGTATATGGCAAGTTTTTTTTGTATATTATTTATAGGACAATCATTTAAGTTAGAGAACTGAATGGCAGGGTAACATCATCCATTTAATTTTTATCACTTAAGGATACTGGACTATCAAGAGATTTCTTTTGTTATTTTCCTTCAGATCTCAGAAGCACCATGGCAATGGCTGAAGGAAGAAACAGCACTACAGTTGCTAGGTTTATCCTATTGGGCTTCTCTGAATTTCCAAGGCTTTCAGGCTTCCTCTTTTCAATATTCCTAGGGATCTACCTCATGACAGTGTCCTGGAATCTGGCTCTCATCACCTTGATCAAGATAGACTCCTACCTGCACACACCTATGTATTTCTTCCTCAATAAACTTGCCTTCTTAGATATTTGTTATGTTTCCTCCACAGTTCCCAAGATGCTTTCAGATTTCTTTAAAAAGCAGAAATCTATGTCCTTCATGGGCTGTGCCATGCAATACTTTTTCTTCTCTAGCCTGGGTCTGACTGAGTGCTGTCTCCTGGCAGCCATGGCTTATGATAGATATGCTGCCATTTGTAATCCTCTGCTCTACACAGCCATCATGTCCCCCACCCTCTGTGTGCAGATGATGGTAGGATCTTGTATAACTGGATTCTTTGGCTCATTAATCCAACTATGTGGCTTACTTCAGCTCTACTTTTGTGGACCAAATGTCATCAACCATTTCTTCTGTGACCTGCCCCAGCTGATGATCTTAGCCTGCTCTGACACCTTTTTCTTGCAAGTTATAGCCTCTGTTCTCACAGTGATCTTTGGGCTTGCATCTGTTCTAGTTATCATAATATCCTATGGTTGTATCATTGTCACCATTCTGAAGATCTCTTCAGGCGAAGGCAGGTTCAAGACCTTCAACACATGTGCTTCTCACCTGATAGCAGTGACTCTCTTCTTTGGTTCAGGTATCTTTGTCTATTTGTGTTCTAGCTCTGATGATTCTCTGAGCCAAAACAAGATGGCTTCTATTGTATACACTATGTTGATTCCCATGTTAAATCCACTGATCTATAGTCTAAGAAACAAGGAAATCAAAGATGCTTTAAACAGATGGAAGAAGAGAATATTCTTCTTGAATTTTTGATTATGGGGTGCCTTTTAGATCTTAGGACACAAAGCATACAGAACAGTGTATGAAAATGGCTATAGTAGCACTTGTAAGTCCTGCAGTATATTGTGTAACTTTTCATAAATATCTGTTTCCCTTCTACTCCCTGGGAGAAAATTGTACTTCACCCCTTTGAAGCTGGTTTTGGCTGTGTAACTTGTTATAAGAAATAAAATGTAAGCAGATGTGCCATATCTTAGTTCCAGGCAGAGGCTGTATATGTGTGTGCTTTTTTTAACTTCTTCTTCCCCAATGCTCCCATTAGTGGCTGACTCATAAAGAGTAAGATGATGATGCAGTAGAAGTGCTCCCAGCTGACCCAAGATGGACCTATAGTATTAGCAAGAAATAAATGTGTTTTGAATTATTTGCTACTGTAGCATACTCAGTCTATCACAGCTATTATAGAAATTTGTACAGGTAGTGGTGTGTTATTTTAAAAAATAAACTATTAACATTTGTAAGTTTATTTAGGGCCAGGCAGTTGGTGTCAAGGAATCTGTTATTGCTAAGTGGAAGGATAGCAGTTTACATTTGGCATAATGAAATATTTGGTACCTTGTCACCTGAGATAACTTGGAAGGGAGACTCTATGGGAAAACAGAATGCTTGTAGCAGGAGTTGGTTGCTGTTGGATGTATTTAACAAAGTGATGCAAAAATGGGATGAGCTCACAAAACAATTGGTCAGTTTTCAGGCAAGAATGCAAGAGAATATAGAAAGAATCAAGAAATTTGGAGACTTGAAGAGTTAAAAGAGCTTTTTGTATGCAGTTAGTAAAGATAAAAATTAGAGGGACTTTGAGAAAAAAAAGACCAATAAAATTCAGCCTTGTATGAAGAACCAAATCAAGAATATGGTCATCATACCCCATTGCACAACAGGGGCTGGAAGGAGTATGTCTGGAATGCAGGGGATTCACAGGAGCATCTCCTGACGCTTCTGTGCCCAGGAGAATGGTTAATAGGAAATTGCAGCAACCAGGAACTAGCAAGAGCAAGATGATTAAGGGCTCCGACTTTTCAGAGATATAGGTGTGGGTTAACCCTCTAGACAAGCAATGGAGACGAGTCGAAATAATGGCTAAGAGTGAGTGAAATCTGAAATCAGTGGTGGAGGGATGTGATTAATCAGCTGGGACGTCAGAACTAGCTGCCATGTCAAGGACAGTAATTTGTTTCACTAACCCTATTGAATGTACCTCCCTTCTTGGGAAGAAGTGAGGGCACCTAGTTCCCACGAAAAGCGGAGCCTTCGTATTGTGTAATATGTTTTGGTGTCAGATACAAGGGGAAGGCACAAAAAAATCTGAGTGGTGCAAAGGTTTATTTGTATCAGATATTTCCTCTGTATCTCTTCAGATTCTCTGAGTCTCACCTGTTGTTTCTGGAGCTTTTTGTTACAGCCCAGTTGTTGCCGTCACAACCAATCTGTAAGGCCTCTAACCCGTTTCACTTGGGCACTACCTGACAATGTCTTGCCTCACGCTCACTCCCTTTTCTACACAAAGTACTAACTGTATCCTTGATCGAGGAGAGTAAAAAAAAAACTTTTTTTTTTGCTGTTATCTCATTCTAAAATATTTGAACAGGTATGTATACATTCTTTAAGAAGAGCCACCTTATCTCATTGCTGTAGACAATATTAAGGAGAGAAAAATCATCATGCACAAGAAAGACGCGCAAACGTAAAACTAGAAGTTACATTTAAATAATCAGAATAAACACCTGTGCAATTTACTTACTGGAGAGAAAAATAGAAGCAGAGGAAGGCTTTTAAAAATCCACTGATGTGGCACGCAAGGTCCAGGATAAATTTGTGGGACATGTAGACATTTCTCATGACTTCTCATAGGTACTTGGACAGAAAAGCCGGTGAGGCAAAGCACTGCTGGACTTATGAAGTGACACAGAATGAGACATGTGTCTTCTAAATTTGGATATTAAAAATACATGAGCAATCTTACTTATGGGATAGTCTTGCTAAAACTATCAAAACTGAATCATATTAATCATGCCCTATATGCAACTACCAATTTACATGAACTACAAAGGACAGAAAGACATATTAAACTATACTATGGGGAATCAATTAGAAAAATGTAAACTGTGAGAAATTCCAAAGGAAAAATGAATTTGAGAGAGTGGAGGAGGGCGGGGGAAGGTGAAAACTGACATGTTAAAAGAAGGCAAAACTCCTCCAGAAAGGAACAAAGGCTTGCCCACACCTCGACTTTAGCCTAGTGAGACTGATTGTGGACATCTGACCCCCCAGATACTACAAGATAATAAATCTGTGTTACAAGTCAAAAATTAAAAATGCAAAATTCATTTTAGCATTCAGGTATGCATACTTGAGTGATGAAACTACAAAGAAAAGTCAGGTGACCGACAGTTCTGATAAAGACTTCAAATGTTGGGTGACCATCCAACCTAGTTTGTCTGGGACAATACTGATTTGTGCTTACTGTCCTGACATGATTATTAATAACTCCTTTTCATGACCAAAGTTGTTCATTTTGGATAATAAATGACAGGATCGCCTATCTTGAGAGTCCCTACCAGATGTCATGATTCTGAAGGTCTGGAAAGGAAAAGTGGAACTTGATTTATTTCGGTCACAAAGGGCACGCGATGGTGTGGAGAGATGAAATCAACTGGGGGCATTTCTCATTTGTTTTCCTATCCAACACTCTCGAGAGTAATTAACTGAAGATGGTGTTCTTTGTTGATTGCCTCTTCTCTCTCCACACTGGATCCTAAGGATACATTTAAGAGAATCTTTAGTTGGAAGCCTCTCTCTTATAGCAATGGTGAGTAGGAGCCATGGCTGAAAGCACAGAGCCTAGGGAAAGTAAACATCTCCATCTTGAATGCTCATAGGATGTCCAGCTCCTGGAAGAACTGTGCACATCTGGGCATCTAGAGCGAGGTCAAGATTCAGCTCCAGGAGAAGGCAGCTGTGGAGGCAGCACTTCCCACATTTCTCTAAGACACAGCTGTCAGAATATCAACAAGAATATCTGGGTGGGTAAAATTTGAAAGAGCTTGCTTTCTTCAATTTGGCTTTCTTTTCTCTTCTTGCAACCCTGTTCTCCCATACCCTCAACCCGGAGACCTCATGCATCCGATTTTGATGACTATTTTTACTTTTTTATTTTTTTCATGATAACCATGCTCCCTCTCCCCTATCCCAATGGGATTATTTGAATTTTAACAGAAACCAAGGTATTTGAACCAAAATAAGAACATCTAATATGGAATTTCAGACATTAGCAAGTAGGTGGAGTAAGGAATGCAGGGTATGAAGATTTGTTGATAGCCCAAATTTTCACCACCAAAAATTCCATTTTTTTTCCCGCAAAAGATTTTTAGTTAGCAAAATATTTTGAAGATGTAATCAGTATTATTCACTATTAATATAACTCCCTTTTTTTTTTTTTTTTGTAGTTTAGCACTCTATTACATACTTTATATATTATACTTCATTTGGTCTTCACAAAAACTCTATGGAGTGATGATCATTCTTCCCTTACAGATGAAGAAATGGGGCACAAAGAGATGAAGTGATTTGCCTAATAATATCGTAAAGTTGGTAAACGGTGGAGCCAAGTATGCTCTACTTCTCAGTAAATAATTTAATTTCCCATTTCTGTCTATCAGAGACTAGTAGAAACTTTTGTGTAATGTGAAATAGAGTAGCCAGCAAGAGTTGATGTAATTTTACTCCAAAGCAATTGGATGGTCTTAATTTGCATAAATATATGATTTTAACAGCTTTTTGAAATATTAAAACTCGTCCTCCACTGCTGTCACGGCGGACCTGGGAGGTTATTAATTGCTCTACCATTGGATGCTGGGGGTGACTCGTGTTAGCTACAGCTGATCCTGGGTCAGTGTGACCTTTGACCCTACCTACTCTTATTTTTTTCTTATTTATACTTTAATAATGATCTTCAGACTTCAAATGATTTATGGATTTAATCAAATGGTACAATGCTAATGACTATGAAAATAAAGATGAAAGAGACATACGTTTTTCATGTACATTTGCAGGATAGCAGAATTGTTGAATACCCAACCTTGGAGCCAGTCTACTAAGTGAATTCTCAAGTCTCTCACTTATTAGCATTGAGGCCCTGGGCAACTTCCCTAACGTCATGTGCCTCATATCAAAATAGGGTTATTGTGAGGATTAAATGGATTAATATATATATATTAGAAGAATGAGTAGGAAAGTAAGTGCTCGATAAGTATTTATTATTATTATTATAGACAGATAAACAAAAAGGTAGACATTTATGGTACTGTACCCTAAAAGTTACAATTGATTTGTCCATTTGTTGTTGAAAGCCTGTCAATATGCAAACTCTTTTTACGATAGTTAACATGCTTCATTTCATGTTGCCTAAGGATTTCATTAAGAATCAACATTTATTTTACATTTTGTAGCCTTTTGTTTCTAATTCATTTAAGGGTCTAGTTAGGGCTTAAAAGGTTCAAGACACAAGTAAACTAGCCTATCCCCTACCTTGAATCCTGAAATATGACCAATGTCAAGTCAATGAGCTACATGTTCCCCATTGTTGGCCTGCATGCCCTGCCTTTGTAAGTGGGTCATTTTGTGCCTTAAATTTTCTAAATACGAACTTCTTTTCTCTTTTCTTTCTTCCTTGCTTCCTTTTCTACTTCCTTCCTTTTTTCCTAATTTCAAGGAATAATAAAGAGAAAATAACTATTAAAGACCGGACATACTTTCCTTTGCTAATTTAAGAAGTTTACATTGGGCAGAAATTACTAATCTGTCACTGTGAACATTACAAATCACGACGACACCATTCACTACATGAAAGGCTACATGAAATTTAAAGATTTATATACTGATAGAAATACATTATAACATAGTAAGTCAAGTTCAATGAGAGCAACGACCTCAGTTCCCATGAGAATGTTATTGTCTCAGGATGGTCAGATCTC